AGGTCAGTCACTCACATGATAAGAGCTTGTGTCTGTTTTTGCACAATTTCAGCTCTTTCTCTATAGGAGATAAGACTCTAACTCAGAACAGTCTTAGCATATTTGAGGCTCAGTATCTGCTTCTGAAGCTGGGAGGTACAATCCCTGAGTTCATCATTTTCTTTCATCACTGTCTACTGAACTTAGGAGCAACCAACCAACTTCACTATGTTCCTTGGTTCTCCACAGTGGTCACTAAACTCCTTGCGTCTCAACGAACCATGAATCAAGAGTGTCAAATGCATTTATTTTGCATAACTCTCTGAACAGTTCGTGCCAAGGACTATCAGTGTTCTCCATACTATTAGAAGTAGAGTCCTTAGCATTTTTGGGTCTAATCATACTAAGCAGCCAACTCCAGAAGCCCCAAAACCAATGAAAGAACTCTATCCTTAATACCAAAATCTGTATTAGTTAGGGTACTCTAGAGGGACAGAACTAATATGATATATACATATATATATTTATTTATATGTATAAAGGGGAGTTTATTAAGTATTAACTTACATGATCCCAAGGTCCCACAATAGGCTGCCTGCAAGCTGAGGAGCAAGGAGAGCCAGTCCGAGTCCCAAAACTGAAGAACTTCAGTTTGATGTTGGAAAGCAGGAAGCATCCAGCATGGGAGAAAGATGTAGGCTGGGAGGCTAGGCCAATCTCTCCTTTTCACGTTTTTCTGCCTGCTTTATATTCACTGGCAGCTGATTAGTGCCCACCAGATTAAGGATGGATCTGCCTTCCCCAGTCCACTGACTGAAATGCAAATCTCTTTTGGCAACACCCTCACAGACACACCCAGAATCAATACTTTGCATCCTTCAATCCAGTCAAGTTGATGCTCAGTATTAACCATCACATATGCATAAAAAATATAAAAGAGTATTTTACAAAATTATCGTACTATGCTATTGATGAAATACAAAGCAGGGAAAGCAACAAAAGTCAGTGTTCAGAGTCAAATGTGCTGACCCACGGCAGTGTGAATTTCCTAGGGCTGCCAGGAGTTAACAAATTACCACAAACCAGTAGCTTTAAAACAATGGAAATATTCTGTCACAGTTGTGGAGGCTAGAAGTCCAAAATCAAAGTGCCAGCAGGGTTGGTTCCTTTGGAGACACTGAGACACAATCTGTTTCATGCCTTTCTCCTGGCTTATGGTGGTTCCTGGTAACTCTTGGCATTCCTTGGGTTGTAGATGCATCAACCAAATCTCTGCCTCCATCTTCACATCACCTCCTTTTCTGTGTGTCTTCTTTCCCATCCCATATAAGGATACCCATCATTGAATTTAGGGCCCACCCTCATCCAGGATTATCTTATCTTGAGATTCTTAATTACATCTGCAGAGACCTATTTCCAGATAAGGTTACAGTCACAGGTATTTGGGGCTAGGACCTGGACATCTCTTTTAGGGGGTACTATTCAACAACTTCAGTCCACTCTATGATACCCAAATTTCATGCCCATTTCACTTGCAAAATACATTCACCTAACCAACATTCCCAAAAACCTCAGTCCATGACTGCATCCTAAGTTTAAAATGTCATTGAAATATCAGCTCAGAAGTCCCGTCCCAAATCTCATCATCTAAATCATCTCCATCTGGTATGCATGAAACTCTAGGTATGATACATTTTGGGGCAAAATCTCTCCATTTGTAAAACTAGAAAACAAATTAATTGGCCAGGTGCAGTGGATCATGCCTGTAGTCCCAGCACTTTGGGAGGTCAAGGCAGGAGGATCACTTGAGCCCAGGAGTTTGAGACCAGTCTGGACAACATAGTGAGACCCTGCCTCTACAAAAAAAATTAAAAATTAGCCGGATGGGTTGGGTGCAGTGGCTCACACCTGTAATCCCAACACTTTGGGAGGCTGAGGCAGGTGGATCATCTGAGGTCAAGAGTTAGAGACCAGCCTGGCCAACATGGTGAAACCATGTCTCTACTAAAAATACAAAAATTAGCTGGGCATGGTGGCACATGTCTGTAATCTCAGCTACTCAGGAGTCTGAGGCAAGACAATCGCTTGAACCTGGGAGGCGGAGGTTGCAGTGAGCTGAGATCACGCCACTGTGTTCCAGCCTGGGTGACAGAGTGAGATTCCATCTCAAAAAAAAAAAAAAAAAAATTAGCCAGGTGTGGTGGTGCATGCCTACAGTCCTAGCCTGCTCCAGGAGGCTTAGGCTGGAAGATTGTCTGAGCCCTGGAGGTTGAGGCTGCAGTGAGCTGTGGTCATGCCACTGCACTTTAGCCTGGACAACAGAACAAGACAAAACAAACAAACAAACAAACAAAAAACAAACAAAGAAAGAAAGAAAAAGAAAGAAAGAAAGAAAGAAAGAAAGAAAGAAAGAAAGAAAGAAAGAAAGAAAGAAAGAAAGAATCTGCTTTCAAAATACAGTGCTGGAGGAGAGGCATAAGTAAGTCATTCCTGGCCAGGTGTGGTGGCTTACGCCTATAATCCCAGCACTTTGGGAGGCTGAGGCAGGAGGATCACTTGAGCCCAGAAGTTTGAGACCAGCCTGGGCAACATAGTGAGACCCTATCTCTATTTTAAAAATAAATTTTAAAAATTAAAAATTTTATTTTTGTTGCTGTCCCAACAAGGAGAAATTGGAAGGAACAAAGGAGTCACCATTCCAAGCAAGTCTGAAATCCAGCAGGGAAAATTCTATTAGTTTTCAAGGCCTGAGAATAATCATCTGTGACTCACTTCCCTGCCCTCTGGGTCCACAGAGGCTCCATCAGCCCCTGCCTCTAGGCCTGCTTCTTTGAACCCTGCCTCTTTGGACTCTGCCTGCATCAGGCTTTGTTCTGAGTCATTCTTGCTTTTCCTTGAAGGTTAGCATGTGTGTGTAGCTAACTACCTCTATTAGCCTATTTCCTGCCTGTAGAATCCCAGAAGTCTCACAGCTATTTTCATTTCATCTTATCTCTGTTCCTTTCTGTACAAGCTAGCAGTGTTTCTGCATATATAACAGTCTCAAAAACTTTGTAGGCCCCCTTTGTATTTCAAGGGTATCCATTCTAGATAACTCCATCTCTATTTCTGGCTTCTTCTGGGATGGTCAACTGGGTTCATGAGACATCCCTAATCTCTTTAGCAAAATGTTGTCCAGCCACATCCTTGACCCTCTCTCTAGGGCACACTCTTCCTACGATGAGTTTCCTAACTTCAGCATCCTTTGTGAACTCGGTAGGCTGAGAACCTCCCAAATAAAAAAGTGCTGGTTTCTCTTGGCTTAACAGTTATTTTCTCAATTTATCTTCTCTATAATTTTCCTATAAGTACAAAGAGAAACCAAGCCACACCTTCAACACTTTGTTTGGAAATCTCCTCAGCTAAATATCTAAGTTCATTACAGCCTTCAAGTTCTGTTTCCACTCAGCAGTAGAAAACAATACATTCACATTTCTGCCACTTTATAATAAAGATGGCTTTTCTTCCGTTTCTAATAACACGTTTCTTATTTCCTTCTGAGACCTTACCAGAAGCATCTTTAACATTCATATTTCTACCAGCATTCCAGTCATGATATATATACGATGGGCCCTCCATATCTCTGGGTTCCACATCTGTGGATTCAGCCACCACAGATCAAAAATATTCAGGGGAGAAAAATAATAAAAAACAATAAAACAGTAAAAATAAAGTAATAAAAAGCAATACAGGCCAGGCGTGGTGGCTCATGCCAATAATCCCAGCACTTGGGGACAAGAGGATTGCTTGAAGCTAAGGGTTTGAAAATAGCTTGGGCAACAAAGCAAGACCTCATCTCTACAAATAATAATTTAAAAATTAGTCAGGTGCAGTGGCATGTGTCTGTAGTCCCAGCTACTTGGAAGGCTGATGCAGGAAGATTGCTTGAACCCAGGAGTTCGAGGCTGTGGTAAGCTATGATTGCACCACTGCACTCCAGCCTGGGTGACAGAGCAAGACCCCATTTCAGAAAAAAAAAAAAGAAAGAAAGAAAGAAAGAAAAAGTAAAAAAACCAACAATACAGGATAACAACTAGTTACATAGCAATTTACATTGTATTAGGTATTGTAAGTAATCTAAAGGTGATTTACAGTATACTGGAGGGTATGTGTAGGTTATATGCACATCTATGCCATTTTATAGCAGAGATTTGAGCATTCATGACTTTTGCTATCCATCAGGATCCTCGGACCAGTCCGCTGGGATACTGAGGCATAACTGTATTCTCTAGGGCAATAGAAGCTTTCTTTTCTATGCTGTTTACTTCCTCTGAGCCCTCACCAGAATCACCCTTAAAGTTCATATTTCTGCCAGTCATCTCTTCAAGGAAATCCACTAGACTTTTTCTATTATATACCTTGAAATTCTCCCAACCTTTACCCGTTAGCCAATTACAAAATCTCTACCACATTTTTAGCTATCTGTTATAGCAGCACCCCTTTCCCAGTACCAAAATCTGTGTTAGTTTCCTTGGACTGCTGTGAAAAATCACCACGCACAGGGTGATCTAAAACAGTAGAAGCGTATGCTCTTATGGATGTGGAGGCCACAAGCCCAAAATCCAGGTGGTGGCAGCGTTGGCTCCTTTTGGAGGCCGTGAGGGAGAACCTGTCCTAGGCTTCTCTCCTAACTTCTGGGTATTGCTGGCAATCCTTGGCATTCCTTTCTGAGTAAATGAACCACTCTGATCTCTGCCTGCCTCTTCATGTCACCTCTACTCTGCATGTCATCTTCTTTTCTGTCTCTTATGAGGACACACCATTGGATTTAGGGCCCACTCTAATTCAGGATGATCTCATATTTCTAAATAAGGTTATACTCTCAGGTACCTGGGGTCAGTTCTTGGACATATCTTTTGGGGACCACTCTTCAGCTCACTACAGGCAAACTTCCCGTAGAAGGTAAATGTTAAGGGTTCAGGATGGAAAAGCTGGGTGGGGGATAAGGCACTTGTCAGAGCCCTGTTTTCCCATGGCAGCAGGAACGCCCCAAGAGTGCTGTGTTCCCTGGTGAGGGGAAGGTCAAGATGAGTGTGGAGGAGCAGATTGACCGAATGCGGCGGCACCAGAGTGGCTCCATGAAGGAGAAGCGGAGAAGCCTGCAGCTGCCAGCCAGCCCGGCCCCCGACCCCAGTCCCCGGCCAGCCTACAAAGTGGTAATGCCTTCCCAGCTACCCACAGGCATGAGCCTGGCATCTGCCAACACTTCCTACTCCCAGGGCATGGCCAGCTGGGGCCTGGGGAGTTTGAGAGGAAGGAGAGGGGAAAGAACCCAAGCTGGGCACCTGGGAGAGCCAGAGAGTCCTCTCTCCCACCGGCGGAAGAGTCTTTCAAGTGTTGACTTTTTCTTGTTTTAAGAAAATAACTCACAAAAAGGAATGCCTTAATTATTTTTGTTGAAATGAATCATACAAAATTCACTTAATAGAGAATAGTACAGAATTCACCACACAGAAATAGCTGTCACTTACGCATGTTTCTAGAGCATCTCCTCTGTGCCTAGCATTGGGCTGGCTGCAATGAAGATAATCATAATAGCTCACCGTCACATGGCACAATATAATCCACAAATCCCTTTCATGTTATTTCATTTAATCCTTTTAGCAACATTGGGTTAGGAATTATTACCCTATTTTGCAGATGGGGAAACAAAGTGAGGAGAAATTAAAGGATTCCTGGGCTACACAGCTCTATTAAGTACAGAGCTGGATGTAGCCCAAGACATTACTTAACTTTTGTTTCCATTAAATTTTAGAAATATGGAAAATTTATGACTCATAAGTCCTGTCCTCAACAGCTTACATTCTAGTTGATGGATTAGGACTTCTATAGTATGAAATCATTAGAAGTTAGCTGGGTGTGGTTGGCTCCTCATGCAAGTAATCCTAGCACTTTGGGAGACCAAGGTGGAAAGATCGTTTGAGGCCAGGAGTCTGAGACCAGCCTGACAACAAAGCAAGACCCTGTCTCTATAAAAACATGTTTAACAAGTAGCTGGGCATGGTGGATGCACCTATAGTCCCAGCTACTTGGGAGGAGGCTGGGATGGGAGGACTCAAGGCCAGGAGTTTGAGATTGCAGCGAGCTATGATTCTGTGGCTGTACTCCAGCTGGAGCGACAGCAAGACCCTGTTTCTTAAAAAATCAAAAGAAGAAATCAATACAAGTCACACTAACTTAACTGCCCAAATTATATAGCGAAGAATGTGAATACAGGGTACAGCAGGATGGGGAACAGCAAGAACTGACAAGAGATGTTGATGAGATGTTGCCTCTGGGGCCTGGCAGGTGGGCAGGCTTTGGGTCAGTAGAAAGGAAAGAGGATAGTTCTGCAGTAGGGTGCGGTGGGAGCAGTGGGGTGGCAGCTAGATCAGGCAAGCTGGGAAGGGAAAGCGAGGACAGGGCATGGCTAGGGCTGCCTGGAGGCATGGGTAGCCGTGGTGCGATCGTGATGCTGCTGTCCCCTAGGTGCGCCGCCACCGCAGCATCCACGAGGTGGACATCTCCAACCTGGAGGCAGCCCTGCGGGCAGAGGAGCCTGGCGGGCAGGCCTACGAGACACCCCGGGAGGAAATTGCCCGGCTTCGCAAAATGGAGCTAGAGCCCCAGCATTATGATGTAGACATCAATAAGGAGGTGAGTGGAGCCAGGAAGGGCTGTAGTGGGAGACTCTGGGAAGGGACAGAGGTGGTGACCCCAGCCCCTCCATAGCTCTCCACTCCAGACAAAGTCCTCATCCCCGAACGGTACATTGACCTGGAACCTGACACTCCTCTGAGCCCTGAGGAGTTGAAGGAGAAGCAGAAGAAGGTGGAGAGGATCAAGACACTCATTGCCAAATCCAGGTAACCGGCCTGGGTGAGCCTCTACTTCCTCTGCCCACCCTGGCACCTAGGACACCTGGGCCACTAGAAGTCGTTGGGGGCACAGAGCCTCCCCAGGGGAGAGCACATCAAGGTGGTGGCTCCAGGCAGCAGACAGGGCCCAGCTACCGGCAGAGGCAAGGATGCTGCTGTCAGGTGCTAGTAAGACCCGCCAGGCTCGTGCACATCACACCATCAAGACAAAACTGAAGGCTCGCCCTCTGGTGACTTCTTTTCCCCTTCAAGGCTGCCCTAAATGCTCACTTGAACCTTTTAATTCATTTGAGAACATTGAGGGTAGGGGTCTCAACCTGTGTTTTGTCAGGGTCCCACTCACTCCTAGGGACAGCCTTGCTGGGAACCAGAGACTGCACATTCACGGGGCCCTGGCCCTCCCTGCCAACCTCAGTCCACAGGCCCCCCGAAGCCACTTGGACCTTCCTGTCCCTCCCTCCATTTCTGTGTGTCTGTGCCTCTTCAGTATGCAGAACGTGGTGCCCATCGGCGAGGGGGACTCTGTGGACGTGCCCCAGGACTCAGAGAGCCAGCTGCAGGAGCAGGAGAAGCGGATTGAAATCTCCTGCGCCCTGGCGACCGAGGCCTCCCGCAGGGGCCGCATGCTGTCTGGTGAGAGGGGCTGGGCCTCGCTCCACCCTGCCAGGGAAACCAGCTGACCAGGTTTAGGGGAGGAAGCGCAGCACTGCTACCAGGGGGGCAGTAGCAAAGAGATACAAGGCTGAGGAGATGCTCCTCGAGGTTGAGACGAGCATCTATTGAGCACCAGGTACTGTGCTAGGCTCAGGGAGGTGCAAAGGGGCCAGAGTTGCTGCATCCAGGAGCTCAGAGCCGGGATGATCCTTACAGCCACCTTAGGGAGTATTGGCCAGAGGCCATGCAGAGCATGGGGAGCCATTCTGCCCGGGCAGGCCAGAGAAAGGCACAGAGAAAAGATGATAACTGAGTTTGACTGAGAAAGATAAAAATATTTCTCAGTTGCAGGGAGAGGGCCAGGTATTCCAGAGTATCCTTTCATTTCCTGCTTTCGCTGCATGCAAATAGGAAGAATCTTAGAAAAGATGGTGCAGGCAACCAGAGTTGAGAGCGATACAATTACCACTTTGGCTACTGATCCAAACTCACTTTTCTGCTAAGAAAAGATGACTATGAGGAACTGACTTCACACTGATACAAAGGCTACCAGGTCCTGACTAGATGCTGATAGGGTTGAGATCAACAGGGTCAGCTTCTGCTCAGTCTGAGATATCATCCCAGAATAGATGAAAATGTACTTGAGCTTTTAAGAATGAAAGAGATTCTGTATGAATGGGAGGGTTAAAGGGAGAGGAGAGACAGTGGGTAAGTCAAGGCGCCTGGGAGACTGTTCCCTTCATCAAGATAAAGGTGTTTAGGATAGAGAGGTAGAGTGAGAGTGAGAACTTTGAAGGCCAGTTAAGAGGAATGACTCAGAAGGGGGAGCCATGGTTGGAGATGACATTGGCAGAGGGGTGAGAGCAGGTGTGCAGGCTACAATTCCAGTAGCCCAGGCAAGAGCCATAAGCAGGTTAGAACCGTGGCTCGGAACATAGTGGAAGGGATGGCGTTTCATGTTGGTGATTAAGGAGGATTCAAATTCTGGTGCTCTGAGGTTCCATTTCCTCATCTGTGAAATTCAAATCAAAATTCCTGCCTCCAGTTCTGGTGGTATGAGGATTGGAAACAATGTGTGCCAAACACCTAGCACAGTGCCTGGCATTCAGTAAGTGCTCAATACATGCTCGCAAGCCGTAGTAGTGGTGACAGTAGCAGTAGCGCTGTGATGCTGGTAGTAGTAGTTGAAATAGCAATAGACGAAGTAGAAATAGAACCATTTGTCATTTTGCTAATTATTTTAAATATGGATGTTTTCAGAAACCAGAAGATTTTAGCTACGGCAAAGAGGATTTAAGTAAGCCTTAATGAAGAACCTTCTGCCAGTTAGGGTGTAATGGACTTTAGAATGGGTGTCCAGGGAGACCCTTGGAGGTATTTCAGGGAGAGGCTGTCTTTAGGCTGGAGTTGAGGGGAAGAGAAGGGATAGCTTCAGAGAGCCCCATCCTGCAGCCAAAAGGCAGCAAAACCAGTTTGGCCACAAGGAAGCAGGCCTCTGTTGAACCTCCCTGTAGTTTAGCTCCAAAATGAACTTGAACCTTCCAAAGATCAGATTCCACATGCTCTGGGCAAAAGGCAACTTCCTGTTTCAAGGGGTTAGAGAGACAGGCCGGTTTAAAAACTTTGCTCTGCCCCAGCCCCAGCCCCTGGCTCTCTCTACTACAGTTCCTTAGCCAAAGGTTCCATGAAAACAAAACCCACCCGGCCTATCCGATTTCTGTCTTGATACACACAGGCTTACATGTCAGGGTCTGTGTGCTGAAACCAAACGGTCACCTTGCTTTTGCCAAAACCCCAACTATTTAAAAAATGGCTGTGGCAGGGCCAGACCTCAGACTTAGCCCACTGTTCCCACCAGCCCTGGTCTGTGGCCCAGCTCCTCAGAGCTACAGCTCTGCCAGGCACAGCAAGGCTGGTCCTGGGCATGCACTATGTGGGCACAGGTTCACACCCAGGACACTGTGTGTGTGGCAGTGCGGGGCACAGGTCATGAGCATAGTGTGCATCGGGTACAGCGAGTAGAGTTCAGTGCCCATGTGTGATGTGTGGCATGGACAGAGTAATCAGTGAGGAATGCTGTTATGCTTACAAATCCACCCGGTGCGTGCAGACTCAGGTATGTAATATGTGGGAAATTATGGCATTTTTGAGTTTGTACGTGTGGCGTGGATGTCATGTGCAGTGTCTGGATCTGGTCATGTTTGTAGATACATGCATTTATTTGTGCGTATTCAAGTGTGCAGTGTGAGAATGGAGGAAAGGTTTGAGTACAAATGTAGCAATGTGTGTATCTGTGTAAAATGTCTAAGGACGTTGTGTGGAGACCCATTATGAGTCCAGGTGGTATATGGTAAGCTGTTGGAGCATAAATGTACATGTATGTGAGTGTACAATACATTGGTGGAGGTGGTGTTTATGAATGCTTGTATTTGTGATTGGCTTTTCTACAGTATGGGAAATGATAAAGCATATTTGTGTATATGTTGTGTACAGTGTATATATTGCAGTATTGTGAACTTATGTCTGTGTGCACAGGCTGGGAGAAAGTACAGTGTCATGAATGTGACTATGTGTGACTGATCATTTCTGCACGCATGTGGTACTTTGCACACTTTATAATATCACATATGTGTGATTCACATCTGCAGCACATGCAAATTTTAACTATTTTGATGGATATATTTCTAATATATATTTAGTATTTTTCTGCCTTCTTAACAAAGTTCTGTTTACATATGACCTTTTCTTGCTCATGTATTACATTATAAATATCTTTATTTTGCCGACCTCTGTTAAAGGAATGCCCTGAGGGCCACAATGGACATAGATCTGTTTGTAGCTATGCTAAATGTTCCCAAACTGTCACTCTTCTAAAGCTGTTATGTCTGCTTTTTACAAAACATTTTCTCTCCTCAGTCGTGCTTTCTTATAGATGTCAGTGGGCCTCCCAATTCCTCTGTCTCTTCGAATTTTCCTGTTTCTAATCTCCCCTGGGCTAGAAACCCAGCGAGCCAACACCTATTAGAATTGTGTATCAATAAGAGTAACTGGACTCCAAGGGCTCCCTATGAGTAAATTCTGAGAGCCTCACTGCATGTCCTGTAGGCTGTAACCTCTATGTTGGCTTCCTGGAGATATCTTTTGCTGTGTTTTTGGTTTCTTGGCTGTTTTAGAAGTTGAGACTGCTAGATGACTAAGCGTTGGGTCAGTGATGTGGCTATGCACACGAATGAGTGTTTGAAAGTGTTTGTGAGTGTATTTGCACATGAAGTTACAAGTGTTGGGTCACATGGAAGGGTGCAGGCTTGGAAGTATACAAATACACTTATTGTGAGCTGTGTGCAATGAGTGTAATGATATGGTGTTGCCAGATCCCATGCACAAACTTTGTATTGTGTATAGGCAGACAACGTCACATCCATGCGAGAGCTACATGTGTTCTATGCACATGAAGGTGTATTAGATATGTAACAAGAGTAGCCACCTTGGCTCTTTCTCTTGCACAGACGGCAGGGAAGGTGATGAGGTCCAGGGTAGGGTGGGGACGAGGGACTGGGAAGTTCAATGTTGGGACCCTTCTCTCGGTGGAAATGCAGTGTGACCCTGGCTGAGGTCTGGTTCCTTTCTGAGCCTGAGCGAGGATGTTGTCTCTGCCATCCTCCTGCCTCGCAGCTACAGTGAGGATGCGTGAGGGTCTGGAGACTGCATAGAGCTTGTCCCCAGTAATAAGTCTTCCCTTCTCATTGTCCTTCCACTTTACTATTCTTAACATGGAATAATAATGATAATAGAGTAAAATCTCAATAATTCAAATGTCATTTCAGGCTTGTCTCGATTTGCTTAGGGGTGGACTGAAGTTTGACTTTACTGGACTGATGAAAAGGATGTCTCAAGTGTTAGCAGGGAACATGTTTCTGAGCCCTTGACTGTGCCAAGTTAACAGAACTCGCTTTAAGTTGATCAGAAATCTCTGTTTTGATGGCACTGATTAACATGGTGGTCACTTCACTTCTGCTCATTAAATGGGGCCAGATGGTTTGGATTGGTGTGATTTTACTGCACTATTAATCATTATCGTTAGTGACACTGCGGTATATAAAGTACCACTCCCTGGTTCCGTCTGCACAGTCGCGGAGAGGTGTGGGAATCTCCCCATTGTGTGGATGGGAGGGGAGCCCTTGGCCCAGAGAGGGCCTGGCCTTACCCACAGTCACACTGGTTCTCAGCAGAGCCTAGATTCGACCAGGTCTCCTCTGGGGCCTCACACTCTCCTCCACGATGCCCTGGGAACGAGGACAGCTTGGCCTAGCTTGAGCAAGCTCCAAGCTCAGTGCTCTCTCTCTGCTTGCCTCCCTGCCTCGCTCCCCGCCTGGGGAGGGCCTCGCTTGCTCTGGGTGCCCACCCTCCTTCCCCACCCACCCCCATTCACCTCCCTGTTCATTTCTGTTTCCAGTGCAATGTGCCACCCCAAGCCCTCCCACCTCCCCTGCTTCCCCGACTCCTCCAGCCAACCCCCTGTCGTCTGAATCCCCACGGGGCGCCGACAGCAGCCATACCATGCGGGTCTGAGCTCTGACGTAAGCACTTTTCTACTGTATTTCATCCACCTGGGGAGTGGGGCCCCTTCCTTCACCCCCATTGAGCCATCTGTGTCCTCTCATTTTGGCATTTTGCTTCTCCCCTACCCCAGTGCCCTGTACCGCTCCTCCCCACTATCCGTCCACCCATCCATCCATCCATCCATCCATCCATCCATCCATCCATCCAGCTTCCCCACGCAGTGCTGGGCTGGAACCGGCTGGCAGGGCCGCTTCTTGGATGTTGTGATGCCAATGGCCTTTGCTTCTCCAGAAGCAGGCAGGGAATGGACCCGAGACCTTACCTGTCTGCTCTCAGGGAAGGCTCTCCCCTGACACCCCACCCCGTGCCTCCTGTCTGCTGACAAGCTTTCCATCTGTTGAGATACACAGATGCAGAACCTTCAGAAGCCCTCAAAAGCTGTTTCTCAACTCCCAGATCTTACTGTAATTTAAAATAACATTGACAATTACAGCCAAAGGCTGTGAACCCTTCCCTTGCCCCTAGCCCACAGCCGCTCACTCTCAGTCAAGTAGAAAAGAACACTGACTTCCTTTCCTTTGTTCCCCTGTCAGGGTTGAGGGACCGGAGTGGGTTTCTGCCAGGTTTTTGCAGGACGAGGCTTCTTTCTCCCGGGAAGGTTGGCTGGAGTCCTTGCTCCTCTGTGCAACCCTCTTCTCACCCCATTTCTCTTTTCTCCAGTGCAAGCCCTGGCTGAGGCCAATGCTGTGAAGCTCCACAGAGTCACATTCTGAAGCTGTCCTCTGCCCACCTGAGGTCCTGGCTCCCCACCCTGGCCCCCTGCCCCTGCACTCCCATGGGAATGCCGCAGGGAGCCAGGCTGGGGCCACAGGCTGCTGCCGAGAGGAGCGTGGATACCTCAGTGTCCACACACCCACTATGCCTAACCCTGGAGCTCTCACTACTCACACCGTGGTCCTGGGCCAGGGCCTGAGACGGCAGTGGGGAGCACCATCCTCGTTCATGCCCAAGTCACAGAGAGCCACGGCCTTGCCCTGGCTGGGGTTGTGGTGACTCCAGTGGAACAATCCCTGATGGGGGACATGCCGTGGTGGAGAACATACCTGTGGCTATCTTATGTGAGGACTAGAGGTGAAGAGGAGATGGACACTGCCTCTTGGAGCCAGCCTGACACTGAGGACAGCACTTGTCGTCATCCCTATCCTCATCAACCCCACCCGGCTGCCTCAGCTGGACCCAGGGCTTTGATAAACCCAGTGCTTTGCTTATGGGTGCTCGCTGGGGTCCAATGGAGACTGACCACCCTGCTTGAGCCAAAGACAAGGTGATGAGAGATGGGGAGAGGCTATTGGCTCCCAGAGGGAACAGTGCTGGTTGTGGCTAGAGAACAGCAGGTCTGTGCAGTGTCTGAGGGCAGGTTGGGAAGGGTAGCAGAGAGAGACAGAAAGAGAAAGACAGAGAGAGAGAGAGAGAGATCCTCAGAGTGGGAGGAGGGGGAAGCAGCAGGACACATTGGCAAGTCAAGCAGGAAGGAAGGAGATGGAAAAGGGGTATTGGATTGGTTTCCCCAGGTGGAGCCTTAGGTTAGTGCCCAGTGCAGTGCCAGACTCTCTCCTCTGCTCCTCCCACCTCATCCCCAGGACGACCCACCAGTGGAGCACAGGCAGCCTCAGTGGAGATGCTTGGTGTGGGGATCTAGGTGAAGGAGGTTGAGTAGCGACTGCCTGGGAGATGGCTGTTGGTAGTTCTGTGCCTGGTGTCTGCCTCCCCGTCCTGGGGTAAGGGGCAGAGAGAAGGACTTGTCTTATGTAGGGTGTGGTCAGCCTTGGGGCCTTACCTACCCAGTTCTGCGATATTTCTTGCCCTGTTCCCCCTGGAATGTGCAGTGATCCAGCTGAGAATATGCTTTGAGGAGGAGGGATGAAGCCTTAATCTGGGAGGCCTCCCAGGATTCCAGGACCATCCCCCATCCCAGGCATCCCAGACGAGGACTGGCTGAGGCTAGGCGCTCTCACGATCCACCTGCCCAGGGAGGGCAGTGGGGGAGAGACAGAAGAGCAAAGCGCATTCTTCCTCAGCTCCACCCACCTGGAGATGAATGTAGCCAGAGAGGAGGAAGGAGGGAAGCTGAAGACGCCGTGGCCCCTAGGCCTTCACTCTGCTAGAGTTGCCACCCAGAGGCTTCAGCCTGACCTCCAGCGGTCCCGAGAACACCTACTAATTCCTCTCCACTCCTTCATGGCTGGGACAGTTACTGGTTCTTATGCAAGTAAAGATGATAATTTACTCAACAAATATTTATCGAGCACCTTTTATGTACCAGGCACTGTTCTAGGTGCTTAGGATATTCTCATGTTTCTGAGGGATTACAGCCTAGGAGGATTCCACCAATCTTCACTTCTAGCAGGTTTTTAAAATGTGACCCTTGGCTATATTTCCCATCTTCACAGTTCAAGCACCCCAAACCTGCCCTTTCTCCCCTGCAGACTGGCAGGTGGGATTGGTTCCCAGGTCATCTTCTCTCCCTCTTTCCCCCACGCCTTTCTCCCTCCACAGGAAACAGATTTTTCAGGGCCTTCCACACCTGCCGCTTTGTCTGTCTCTTTTTTTTTTTTAAAGTAATATTTTTTAGAAATACATGTAAAATACCAAGAAATAATATCTGCACCTCTGCCACCTCTCTCTCACCTCTTATTTCATAAAGCTGGCTCTTTATGTTGCTTTACATGCCTTAATATATGTTTTATGGAGATTATACATATTATAGATCTATATATGTAATATATTTGTTTGGATGTCTGATCTTTTCCTACAGTTCCTGCCCAGGCCCGTTTTTCTCTCCCTTATTTTCCGTATCATTCCTAGCATATCAAGGCCATACCCCTTGCCTTTTTGATCCAAAGAAGAGGAGAGGAAAGACTTATTTTAAGACAGATCTATTTTATGCTTTTGTTTAAAAAAAGCAAATCTATTTTCAAATGTGCAATGTCTGAATGGAATTGGCAAGTGAGGTGAGGAGATGGGGCAACTGCCTTTAGGTCCCAACCCTGTGCCCTTCCCTCTGCCACAGTGGCTTCATTCTATCCTATTCCCCAGTCAGGAAAGGGCTGGTCCCCAGAGCTCACCCAGAGAGCATCTTGCCGGGGGCAGGGCATTCCCTCGGAAGTCCTGGCCTAAGGATTTTATTACACTGTCCACTCCTGATGACCCTCTGCAGTTGTCAGGCGTGAATCCTCTGGAAGGAACTGTTTGCAGTTGTATGCACAAAGGAGACCCATGCAGGCATGCACCCCAAATGGGCTGCTAGACTACCCCTCTTCATCAGCCTGCTGGAAAGAGCAGACAGTGTAATGGCAGCCTATGCCAAACAGCACTAAGGATGTCGGTCTACGAGATGGTGTCAAGCCCAGAGGAGGCGGCTTGGGGTCCTCTGGGCCATCCCTGGCCCTTTAGCACAGACACATACAAGTTCCTTGGGCTTGTCACACTCCTTTTCACTCGATCCCTCTTTGGTCTGGGTCACATCTATGACATCCCCCCTCTGCAACCTTTCTCTCTGGGGGCTGTACCAAAGGCATGGTACCTCAGTCTGGCATCCAGACTGCGAAATCAGCCTCTGAGCCGAGGAGGGTCCTACAGACAAGGTGACATCTCAACCTCACCCAAGAAACCCCCAGGACTTTACCCCAGCAGGCTGCCACGGGGGCACCAAACGAAGCCAGCTCAGCCTTCCAAACTGCTCAAGCCTTTGTCAATTATCAAATTGGCCAAAGGGTCTCTGGCCTTGCAAGGATTTGGGCAGGATAGAAGTCTTTGTCTAGATCTGAAATCAAGGGCTTGGGAATCTAGAGCCGAGCTCCTGGCCAGCGTTTGAAGCCTGGCCTCCCAGCTGGGGCGTTTACTGACACCCTGCCACCAGCCTAGAACATCCCGCTCTGAATGAACAGAGCGCAGGTGGGGGTCCAGGGCTAAGTGACCCACCTGGGGACGCTCTGATTATTCATCCAGGGCCTTCTCAACGAGCACATTACCTCCATGATCAATAACCAAGAGGCTGCAATCAAATACTGCTACTGTCACTTTGAAGATTTTCTGAGATCGCAAGTGGCACACTTGCTCTCCGACCTTTGGGAGAGGCATGTTTTTGGGCAGGGCTGGCTATGGCAAGAGGGAACCAGTTCCTTTCTCCTTTAAGCACCCTCTACCTGGCAGCTCTTAAAACTAAGAAAAAATATTATATACACACACACATATATATATACACACACATATATATATATCTATTTATGCACATATTGGGGCCAATTTGATTTGCTAGTATTAGACAATAAACCATACAAGGAAATTTATGATCTCAGTGTCTTTATTTAGTATAAAAGTGACCTTAGAAGAAGGGTGAAGGTTAGATAGATGGAATCTCTGTCGGGGGCAACCAGCTGTAGCATCCCCTTAGCATCTTTCTAGCCAATGAGCCCCCTCCCCAGGAGGAGGGGACGGCCTGACTGAAACAGGTGAGAGTTTGTTTCCTCCTTTCAGCAGCATTCTTTTTAGATTTAGGTACCGAAGAATTCCAGTGAGTTCTGCATTTGTATCTTGCAAGTTTGTATAAACTCAATACAGGAAATAAAATGAATGTTTTGTACATGTGGTGTGTGTCTCCTACTCTGTGTCTGCCCTCGTGGTGCTTGTGGGCTTGTGGGGTTGGCAGCTTGTGGGGTTGGTAGGAAAGGGGAATGGGGGCTGGGGGATAGGCTGGGTGCAAAACATATGCTCCCTTCCTCCCCTGTGCCTCAGCCTGCCCTTTTGGGCTCTATCCCCAGGAGCTGGGGAAGCAAGGGTATGCTGCCAACACCAGCATCATCATTTCAGTTCAGGTGACCCCAGATCAGGGTTTGTCCCAAGGTTCTGTATAATGGGAGTATCAGATGCTTCAGGCCCTGGCACCTTCCCTTGGTTTGACTCAGACAAAGGATAGGACAGCAGGAGAAGAAAATGAATTCCCAGGCTTTCTTGATTACTACACAATGCGCTATACTGCTGCTTTACGAGAAGGTGCATAATTTGGTGGGAGGTATGACGCCACCCCAATTCTCATCCTGCCTCCATCCCTTTGGTTTATTTCTGTTGAAATAAACCAAAGTGTTTAGTGGTTATCAGGTATTGACACTCTGTGTGAAGCGCTTTACCGGCGCTTCTCAATTTGGAATCTTACTGTGGGAAACAAGAGTCGAGAAGCCTGGTAAATTTTGTGGGGTGGGTAGTGGAAGAGAAGAGGTGCACCCGGGAGACTGGCAGGCTCAGCTGGGCTTCTGCACGTTGTTCGAGGGAGGGATGGCTCAAGAAAAAGCGAGAAAGAGAGATGAGAAAGCAAGCTTCCTAATTCCTAATCTTGCATCGACTTGGCTTTCATGGCTGAAGCTGAATTCCGGACACCTGTTCCCATTTCTAAGGGCTAGTACAGGGGTGGTCATTTTTAAAATTTGACTCTATTTTGGATGTTGTCACATCCCCAGGATGATGTCCTTTGTGAACCCAGGAGAGTTGTGACCACATGTAGGCTCTGGGGGAGGGCCTGCATCAGAGGCTGGGGTAGGGGGGTGTATATTGGAGAACTTGTCACTTTCCGGGGGGCTGAGCCTTTAGCTGCAGCCTCCATCTGAGCCAGAGCCAATGGCAAGGGCTTGGGGAGGAGGTGGAATGTGAGACCACAGAGCACCACAGGGCATCACTGCATCCACCGACAAGGGCTGGCTCCTCCCCTCAAGAGATGATGCCAGCTGGTGCCTGCTCCACCCCCTACCCAGATCAAGCCAGGTTGGGATTTGTAAAAAGGGGGCAGTAGCTGATAAATGTAAATGAAAATGCAACTAGCAGAATGCCCTTTAAGGAGCAGTGCTGTGTAACTGGGTGATCATTTATTTATTCTTGAAGAGAGGCACGACAGGGTCAGGCAGGCAGCCAAGCCTCAGATCCTGCTGCTGCCAGGGAACTGGGGCCACACCACGGCCCCCTCCTCATCCTGAGCCTCACCTCGTTACTGAGATCAATGAGAGAAAGTGGCATGTCATCCTCAACTCCTGCCCCTAGCAACATGCTCCTTGCTAGCTGCATGAAGATTTGGACAAGTCATTAAATTCTTGAGTCTCAGTTTCCTCGTCTGGAAAATGGGTATGTTAACCACCATCTTATGGAACTTTCAAGAAAGGCAAATGAGAAAATGGATGAAAATCACTTTGAAAACTCAAATTCACTTCCAAATGTGAGGAAGTGGAAGTGGTGATGTTGCAAAGGCTCCCTGGCCACCTGCAGGGGCCTGATGTGGGAAGAGGGAGAAGGTTTTCCAGGACCCCTTCTTTACTAGCTCTATAGCCTTTGCTGGAAGACATCACCAGGGCCTGTGCCGTCCCTGAGGTGTCCCTCCCCTGGCAGTTCTACGCCTCCAGCCCAGGGAGTAACTGCACTACCCCACCCCTTTCTCATCATGGCAGGGTCATGAGACTGCCATGGGTCGAGGGCTAGCACCAGCCTTCCAGGGCCTGCATACCCCTTCCCAGGAACGTCCCTATGAAGGTCCCTCTCCAGAAGGGTGAACTGTGGACAGCCCCTCTGCGCTCAGCTCCAGTACCCAGAGAATCAGGCCAGGAGGGCCCAGTATCATGAGTGTTTAATTCTCCTGAGTTCACAGGTGGGTTCCATGGCTGGGGGTGGGGGCAGGGAGGGACATCCCCAGCTGCTATTTTATACGCCTGTGGGAGTGGTTTAGCACGATTTGAGATGACAGTAGAAGTCTTTCATATAAAGCATATTAACAGTATACTAATAATGTTAATAACAATAGTAATTATTATAACTATACAGTAATAGCAATAGCAATGGTTCATTAAGTGCTTACTGTGTGCCAGGTACCTGGTTCTACGCACTTCACATGCATTTACTCACGAGTCCTCATCCTCTATGTCAGTCATAGGTACTCTAATTATCCAAGAAGCCGAGGCACAGAAAGGATAAATAAAATGCCCAAGGCTTCATGAAGCTAGGATGAAGCTCTTAACCTACCAGTGATTTCAACGGGGATGATTCTGGCCCCTTGGGGCATTCGGTTGTCTCAATCCTAAGGGTGCAAAACTCTCCCTGGCATTTAGTGACTGCAATGCACAGGACAGATTTCCAAAACCAAGAATTGTCCCATATCCTGCACAACTTTCGAATGTACAGCTGAACTAAACCCACTACCAGTAAAAGTTGGTCATGCTCCAATTGACAGTAATACCAAAAGGTTTTGTAAGCTTTTAAAAATAAGTTTCATGAAAACTCAGAAAGTTAGGAGATGATTATTATGGAGCAGAAGCTTAAAAGGAATAAAAGACATTGTCTCAAAATTATTGAATAATCTACTCCATGCCTTGTCTGCCCAAAGGATTATAAGATTTCTACTACTATGTATTTGATTGAAAACAGTTCTGGCCGGGCGTGGTGGCTCACGCCTTTAATCCCAGCACTTTGGGAGGCCGAGGCAGGCGATCACGAGGTCAGGAGATCGAGACCATCCTGGCTAACACGGTGACACCCCATCTCTACTAAAAATACAAAAAATTAGTGGGGAGTGGTGGTGGGCGCCTGTAGTCCCAGCTACTCGGGAGGCTGAGGCAGGAGAATGGTGTGAACCCGGGAGGCAGAGCTTGCAGTGAGCAGAGATCGACTCCAGCCTGGGTGACAAAGCGAGACTCTGTCTCAAAAAAAAAAAAAAAGAAAAGAAAACAGTTCCAATCAGTAGGTGATACTGAATAAGCAAAGAAATTGACTGAAAATATTTAACAGAAGAGATGTGAGAGAACCAAACATGAAATCAGAGACACTTGAGATGCAGGAGATCTCACTGTGTCTCCTTAATAAAAGTTTTTAGAGTTTATTTCATATTATTGCCATCCTTTATATGTTTAAAGTTTTTTGCAGCCCAAGGATGAACACTTACGTTGTCACAATTACGTGTGGAAATGTTGTGCCCTGTCTTTACAACACTGTCCCAGGTGTCCACCTGCAATTGCTCTAAACCATTTTTATCTTCTTTTCTCTTCCCAATCTATCCTCTATGCCCCATTGCCCACTGGAAATATATGATCTCTAAGTCCTTTTAAGATCCCAGAGACTGAATTTTACCTCAACACTGATACGTTTCAAGACAGAGGTCGATGTGTTGTGGTACTCTATGGCAACCCCATTCCATGGTGGCTATTTTGACAATACACACATACATAAGACCCAGTTCCTTTGCATGCGCGTCATACTCCTATATTATCTCCACCTTGTGCTCTCTAATTTGCCCTGCTGTGTCATCCCTATCTCAATTAAGATACTTTCCCTCTCTTATCATATGCAAGTACATCTGGTCTGTTATTACTCACCTAGCAGTTTTTATTTCTAGTGTTCACTTCCTGCTACTCTTTCATTTTCTTGCATGTGTGTGATTTTTGTTTTTGCATAGAATGGCTCGTCTTCTATTTCTCTTAAATTCAAATATATATTATGTGTAGGTGCAAGCAATCTGCCTATTTCATTTATGCCTTCTGGTAAGTCTTGCCTGAGTGTTTATATATTGAAAGACATCATGTTTTATTATAACTTATCCTTTTTTTTGTTTTTTAATTGTGTCAGCTTTCCTTGGTTTTGTTGTTGTTGTTTGGTTTGGTTTTTTGAGACAGGATCTCACTCTCATACCCACGCATGGCTTGATCACAGCTCGTTGCAGCCTCGACCTCCTGGGCTCAAGCAATCCTCCTACCTCAGCCTCCCCAGCAGCTGGGACTACAGGCAGGCACCACCACATCTGGCTAATTTTTTGATTTTTATTTTTGTAGAGACAAGGTCTCACTATGTTGCCTAGGCTGGTCTCAAACTCCTGGGCTCAAGCAATCTTTCTGCCTCAGCCTCCTAAAATGCTGGGATTACAGACATGATGCATTTGGTATGCCAGGCCTATTTGCATTTTTAAATGATGTATGTAGATTAGTCATATCATCTGTGAAATTCATTTCTTCGTTTCTGGATAGAGGAGACATTGCAAAGTGGATGTTGGCTCTCCTGGCATTGAGAACCATTGCTCTGCGATGGGGAAAAAAGGATGTTAGGAAATAACTGCCCCTCCTTTTGTAGGCCCAAAGGAGGAAAGGACAAATCCATGTCTACACAGCTGGTAGGTGGACCCGAACCAGGCCCCCTGAATTGTCTAGTCCTGCCCCAACCCCAAATTCAGGGCTTTGTCTTCCATAGCTCAACCTCACAGTAAGTCCAAAGCTGGACGCCGCTTGGGGAAAGGAGGTCCAAGCCCTTCGTGTCTAACTTCCCCCATGGCGCTTTTGCCATTAATTTAACCAGATGCGGCTCTGCCATTAGGTCAGCAACAGGCTTTGTACTCAGTCGCTCATTGCCTCCCAGCGCCTAGCATGTGTAATAGCAGAGAGTAAAAAGCTTGACTTTCAAGATTAATTTAGTACATTCCCAAAGGGATGCGCGGATGCCAACTCTTCACACACCACGAAACCAAGCAAGAAACCTGAGCACCTCCTAGATCCCAATGCTTCCATATACAATCTAAGTTTCGCGGGGCAGACAAGAGCCCGCAGAACACCGGGTGGTGTGAGGAAA